AACTTGACATTAACATTATTGATTAGATTTATTCAGAACTTGAACTGATAAAACCAAATAAGCCAGAATATATTTCCCACTCTATTTTTCTGTCTGAATATTCATGGAAGAGATGCCCCTAACTGAATGCATATTTACTAAAGGCATAGATATTTTAAGTTAACTCCTTGGGTTTAACAAATACTTCTTCTAAAACGAAAAATTTTATAAGGAAAGAGACATAAATTATCAATGCCTCTTATGAATATCTTACTTTGTTTACTACTCCCTCAAAAAAAAATCAATGGCATAGAAACAAAGAGGACCTCCTAATGCAAAAGGGGTAACATTTCAAAGCAATTTTGGAGCTTGGAATTCACTGAAGTGAGGGACCAATCATGAAGAGAATAGAAAAATAATATCCAACTACTATTATGAAGTTCCTATGCACAGACACTGGGTTTGGGGAATCTAGATAAAGGATCCCACTTCAATCTCAATGCTGTTCTGTGAGGCAAATGAGGAATGAGGCACTTAGCTGGCAGGAGATAAGATGCTATAGAACATGAAACATCTTATTTCCTTCAACAGTAAAAGATCTGCTCTACCTGGCAATGTCCAATTTCAGATTAAGTTAAAAAGGGGAAAAGAGAAGAGGGAAACAAAAAGAGGCAGAGAGGGCACAGATGAGAGTATATAGGATGTTTAGTCAAGTGCTCATTCACTCAGAGTAGAATGGATTTCTTATTTAGTCAATCCACTCATTCAACAAAAATTTACTTAACATCTGCTCACTGTATAGACAATATGAGATGTCTGGCATCCAAGTTTTCCCCTTCTGGGTTGTCTCACAGAGCCAGCAAATATCTCAGAATGCTTCTTCAAGGTTCCTTAGGGGTGGTCCACCAGTTTGATAATACATACTCCTGCCATGTGGTTACAAGTGATTAGAACAAAACTGGACACTTATTCCAAGCCTCCATGTGATCAGCAACCTATGCTACAATCCAGAATGAGAGTTCAACCAAATCAGAATGCAGAAATTCTAAACAGAAAAAAGCAGGACAGGAAAAGAGACACCTGTAGACAGAAGGTACAGATCGAAGCTATGATGCGGTAAAGCCATAAATAGGCAGAAGCCATGAGTAAGAGAGAACAGTCAATCCATAGAGAGGAGCAAAGACAGAAGGAGGGACACTGTGATCAAAACAACAGGGTAGAGGGTAGGGAACCGCAGAGAATGCTCTGGCTACCAAGGACATGATACCCAGTTGCCTTACCTACAGCGTATCTATAATGGTGAATTTTTGAAATTGTCAACTTGATTGAATTAAGAGATGCCAAGGATAAAGAGGATTCTGGGTGTGTCAGTGAGGTGTGTCTAGGAATGATTGGCATGTGAGATAGCCAACTGAAGGGGAGACCGTCCCCAAGCATGGGCAGCACCTTCCAATAGGATGGTGGCTTAGATGGAATAAAAGTTGGAAGAACAAGGAAGCAGCAGCAGATGCAAGCTCGATTCTTCTTAAATGGGTTCTTGATTGCTGCCTCCATCATCTGGGGATATCAGACTCTCCTTCTTCACTCTTCCAAAGCAGACTCTGCCAGTGATTCTCCAGGGAGTTTCCAGAAGCCTTTGGTTTTAGCTAGGCTAGCACTGTTGATCCCTCGTGTTCTGGGGCTTTTGCCTCTTGGTATGCACTGTTGCTGGTTCTCCCAGCTCTCCAGCCTGCAGAAGGTCATTGTGGACTATCCAGCTTCTGGTCACATAAGCCAACCTAATAAGTTCTCTGTTAATAATTATACTTCCTGTTGATTCTCTTCCTCTAGAGAACCCTCATATAGTATCCTAAATATGTTCTTGTTCTTGGTGTTTAGCTAAGTGGTTCTTGGTATAATTTTCTGTCTTCCTACCTTTCTTAATACAGAGACTAAAATCCCCATAAATTATCATAATCAAAAGTAACAAAGATCTGTTTTTCTTGTAATCAAAATGAACCAAAATAGTACAATCTGCAATGCAGAACCATCTGAAGTACATATGTAAATAAGACATACACATAAAGCAACTCACTAACTAATGGATTAGATCAGAAATGTATTCATAGGCAAGAAGGATCAAATATTTTATGAAACAACTAGGAGTATAAAGAAATGTGAAAAATTCAAGCTCACAGATAATAAATGTTTGCACACTTCTAAAAGAATTGATGAACCTCCCAATAGGAGTAATGGGCCTCTTTGTTTAGTTTTTATTGAATCCTAAAAATGAGAAAAAGTATCCTAAGCCTGAGCCTCATATTTATTTATTCCTCTATTGTCACCCTGTCCTGCAACTTAGGACAGATCAAAATAGTTTTAATTGAAAGTTAACAGCACCAGCTCAACTCTGAAGCAAACTTCTTTCTATAATAACAGTGCATTCAGATCTCTAGTCTGGCTTCCGAGTATAGATGTGGGAGGGGAGACTCTTCACCTGTCACGCTAGTGTATCTGGTCATCCTAAAAAAACAGTTGCTAGGGAAATGCAAAGTGTAAATCCTAGAGTGCTCAGATCTCCTGAAGTGAAGATGAAATATCCCTACTCTTACAGTGTCTTGACTGTAAGAGTCACTTGTCTTGACTCTTACACACAGCACAGCTACCATGCCCTAAGGACTCGGTATGAAGAACACCAGCCTCAGCTCTTCTGGAGGACTGATGGACCTACTACCACACAGGAGATTATGTGCTTAAAACTATAAAATCAATGTACTTTTCCTATGTCTATTTCCCTAAGGCTTTTACCCAGTTCCTTTCCTTTACCTCAACAGGTCTTTATTGGCAACAAGAATATGATTCATAGCCTAATCGAAAAAGTTGATTACTCAAAAACTGCTTATCAAGGACTTTTGTTTCTAATTATCATGGGAAAACTGGAATCATATTTAAACTTCTGCCTTAACCAACCAGAAAAACAGACAGAATGTATGAAAAAATGAATTTCAGTTATTAAAACAGAAGGAATATCATAATCTATAAACATGTAAGGTGACAGAAATAAGGTGGCCCCTATGTCTGCACACGATTACTGTCCCAAAGCAGTTTCCAGAATACTACTTGGGGAAAGGGAATTCAGTCTGATGGTCTTGTCAAGTTGAAGAGATGGCTCAGGGTGAGTAGTGTGGATAAAATTTGCAGGAAGAATATATGAGATAAACACAGAGAAAGCCCCAGACATCTGCAAATGGTCTCCTCAAGTCTTTGCCTAAGTACTATTTGACTGTGCATAATGGAAAACTACCAAAAGCAGGGAAAGAATCTCCTGAAAGCTGAAGGCAGAAGAGTACCTAGACACCAAATGGGGATGAAACTTAATTTTCACACCAGCCAAAGGGGAGAAAGACTTGGGACACTGGATGAAATACCCAGAATGAAAGAACCTGGGTCGTGATACTAAATTCACACTATATGAAAGGCTGCTCTAAACCTGACCCAGAAAGTTCAAGAGGAATACTGGTAAAGGTCAAAACTGATCAAAAGTAACTTAAATTGAAGTCAGAATAAAGTGTGACACTCCTTAAAATAAAACTACAAAACCTAACAACCCAACACACACACAAAAATGTGCAAAACCTGCATTCATTCAAAAATGTGCAAAGTAGAAACAGAGAAATCATAATCAAAGAAGGCCTGGATCATTGAAAACAAAGATATTATAAGTGATAAAATTAGTCAACAAAGATGTTAGATATCATGAATATCCTCCATAAGTTCAAAAGGTAATTAACAACATAAACATAAGGAGAAAAGAAATGAATATATCTCTCTCCAAATGCAACATCTGGAGATATGGAGTTGGAAAACTTCTGTCCACTCTTGGGGGGAGATCACTAATCAGAAAGAATGAAAATATTCTCACTCAATTCTAGAAAGATGAATTTGGATAGAGCATTTCTAAGAAATTCCCCATTCTTAACCCAATTATAAGAATACAAATTGATGGATGTGACAAATGATAGCCACAGCTATCATCCCAATTACGACCTAGGCTACTTCACACCCACAAAATGCCTTCCTGCCCTTTTGCTGTCAGCACTTGCACCTACTCCAAGTATACAATAAGTGATCAGCTCTCTGCCACTACTGTTTGCCCTTTTCATAAATTCATATAAATGGAGTCATGTAGTCTGCAGAATATTGCATCTAGTTTATTTCACTTAGTTTAATGTTTCTGAGTGTGTCTACATTATTGCATATAACAGAAGTTGCATTTTTAAATTGCTGAGAAGTTCTTAGTTACATAGAGATGAAAAATACAACATGTGCGATGAATAATATATAGGGTGGACTTAATAGCAGATTATGCAGAGTAAAACTAAAGATTAGTAAACTTGAAAATACAGCAAAACAATCTATCCCAAAGAAACATAATGAGGAAAAACAAAACAACAAAAACATTTTAAGTCAACAGAGCATCAATGTTTGTAAAACAGTGTCAGTGTGTATCAGTCCCAGACAGATAAGGGGAGGAGTAGAAAATGCTTTAATGCTTAAAGAAATAATAGTCAAAAGTTTTCCAAATTTGAAGAATTTGATATAAGCACAAATACACCTGGTTCAAAGAAACTCAAGCACATACACACAAAAAAAATCACACCAAGTTGTACCATTATGAAATTTCTGAGAAGTGATAAAGAACTTAAAAAAAGTTAGAGGGGGGGAAAAAGTTACATTATCTACAAATTAACAAAGATAATAGTTACAATAGACTCATCCTCAGAAACGCTATATAAAAAAGGTGATGGGGTGACACATGTTATATTTTGGAAAAAATAAGCTCTCAACATAGAATTCTATATCCATAAAAAAAATGTGCTTCAAGATCCACCATGTTTTCAGACCAGGTCTGGCTCCGTCTTCCCCCGTAAGGAAATGCCGGGGAGCTCCAGGGAACCCAGGCGCTGTTGCTTCCGTGGATCCTGGGCTAACAAGGCAGGGCAGCAGGAAAACCCGAGAACTTCTGCACCGGGAGGGAGGCCATGGTGTCCAGCAGTAACTGGCTATCCAGGGTGAATGTCGTGCTGGTGATGGCCTATGGGAGCCTGGTATTTGTACTACTGTTTATTTTTGTGAAGAGGCAAATTATGCGCTTTGCAATGAAATCTAGAAGGGGACCCCATATCCCTATGGGACACAATGTCCCCAAGGACTTGAAAGAGGAGATTGATATTCGACTACCCAGGGTTCAGGATATCAAGTATGAACCTCAGGTCCTTGCAGATGATGATGCAAGACTGCTACATCTGGAAACTCAGGGAAATCAAAGTTGCTACAACTATCTGTATAGGATGAAAGCTCTGGATACTTTCCATGCTTCTGAGATCCCATTTCATGCTGAAGGCAGGCACCCCTGTTCCTTAATGGGCAAGAATTTCCACTCCTACTTGCCAGATCTTCAAAACACTAGTACTCCTTTCAAGGGTGTGAGGAAGGCCTTTATCGATACCCTGCTGGATGGCTACGAGACAGCTCGCTATGGGGTGTTTGGCCAGAGTACCTGCACTATCAAGAGGCCCTAAGTGAGCTGGCCACTGTGGTCAAAGCAAGAATTGGGAGCTCTCAGTGACAGCACCAGTCAGCAGCCAAAGACCTAACTCAGTCCCCTGAAGTCTCCTCAACTACTATCCAGGTGACATACCTTCCCTCCAGTCAGAAAATAAAGGTGCCAAGCATTTCCTCAAATTGAAGAGCTTTAAGGACAACTATAACATGTTGGAGAGCACTCTGTGATGGAGCTGAAGGACTCCCACTGCAGACTGAGCCAGACATCCATGGTGTCTACTGGGCAGCCCTAAGGAAATCTGGCTCAGCAGGCCCAGACTGTTAGCCAAAGCTCCTGCTGTATCCAGGGTTCTTAGAGCTTGTGTCTGAAAGGTCATTCTCCAACTTTTTCTTACAAGCATTTTCAGAATATCAGCTAAGATTTTATTTTTCCCCCAGTAGAATTTTTTTTCTGTGTTTGAATTCAGATCTCATTCTTATTTCTGTCACAAGTTTTCTTAAAAATCTTTGCTGGGAGCCATTAGCCAAGTAGGTATGACAATTTCCTTGCCAGCGTACCCCATGTTGCTTAGTGGAAGGACTCGTGGAAATAGGACATTTTGCAGTGACATTGCATGTAGGTGACCTTGCTCAAGGACCAGGCGGATCCGAGTTTAGGGCGTTCTCGGTTTAGGTTCCAGGTTTAAGGTTTAAGATTATTCCTGCTGGGAATAGGGCGTATCCTGCTGCCTGAGTTCCCCTTGAGTTCTCACGGGATTCAGACAGTATTTTTTGGGAGACAGAAGCCCAGTGGGGGTGGATTTGGGCAGAGAACGTGGATTTCCCCAGAACGTGATTGTAGACGGCTGGTGTGAGTTCGGGAATAAAGAGTTGCTGTTTGAATCTACAAGCTGTGTGGTGGCTCGTGATTTTGTGCCCAGCCAGACTGCGGCAAATCTTCACTTGTTTTTGGCCATAGTTCACCTATTTAATCCCAAAGGTGAAAAGTAAGGTATCTTCCATGTCTGTCCCATTGAACTCAATTGAATGGGAACTGCTTGGTTTTAGGGTGTCTCGGAGTTGTTTGGTGGAAGAGGTGGACAGGATCAGGGGTGGGGTGAGGAAGTGGTTGGTATGTGTAACAAGTTACCCTGCCATTTAAACCAGGATGTGTTGAAACACTAACACAACTTTCCTCCTGTGCACAGATCTGCCTTTCCACCTTCATTCAATCCTCTGTTGTAAATAAATGAACAAAAGGGAATGTTCTAACACCTGGAATAATCTATGTATGCCAAGATACAAGATGATATGGAGGAATGGTTTTCCCCTAATAAGGCAGTGTACTGGTATGGTTTTATGGATTAGTTATTTAATAAAATGAAATATTAAAAAACAGAAAAAAAATGTGCTTCAAAATGATCATGAAATAAACAATACAAACAATCAAAAGCTGATACAATTTATTGTCAGCTGACTTGCACTATACCAAAAAGGAGGTTTTTAAGCAGGAAGAAAATTATATCAGAAGCAAAGTTCAATCTACAGAAGGAATGAATAGCACCAGTAGATGAAAACATGGAACTAAATATGAAAAATATTTCATTTTATTTTCTGATCTAATGGATAATTTGAAATTTAAAGGAAATACAATAATGATGTTATATGGAGGGTTTTATCACAAAAGTAAAATGAATGAAAAAAATAAAAGACTGAAAGAAAAGGTAACTATAGCTGTATAAATTTCTTAGACCATACATATGTTATTTAATATACCTTAAACATAGATTGTGATGTGTTATTAAAACTGTATATTGAAACTCCAAAATGATCAATAAAATATTATGGATAATAAGCTCAAAATGGACATAAAATGGAACTATTTTTTAAATTCAATTAATCCAAAGGAAAAGAAAATAGAAAAAAAATAACAGAGAACAAATATAACAAATAGAAAAAGAAAAGCAATATGGTAGACTGAAGGCCAATTATATTGATAATTACACTAAATGTAAATGAGTCAAACACTTCAATTAAGTAGTATAAATTGTAAGAGTCAGTCAAAAAGTAGGACCCAATTATATTCTGTCTGTAATAAGTCTGCCTACTGTATAGATATAGGATAAAATTAGAAAGATGGTGCTATGGGTGTAGCTCAGTGGAACAGAGCATGTTCAAGGCCCTGGGATCAATCCCCAACACCACACGAAAAAAAAAAAAATTAAAGGAAAAGAATGAAAAAGGTATATTGTACAAACACTAATGAAAAGAAATTTGGGTTACGGCATTAATTCAGATATATAGATTTCAGAACCAGAAATATAACCAGGGTTAAGAAAGGACATTAATAACGATAACAGGGTCAAGTTCATCATAGAGTCATAATTTTTCTAACTGTGATTATACATAACAAACAGCAGTTCACAATATATAAACCAAAAATTGAGAGTGCAGAAAGAACTACAGAAATTCACAATTATTGTTAGAAATTTCAGCAGTCTTCTTCCCACAATTGATAGAATAACTAGTTACACACACACACACACACACAAACAAACATGCAATATAATAAGGAAGAGGATGCTTCAAATACAATATCAACAAACATGATCAAGCATGGCGTGGTAGCATACACCTGTAATTCCAGCAGCTCGGGAAGCTGAGGTAGGAGATCATGAGTTCAGAGCCAGCCTCAGCAACTTAGTGAAGAAACATAACAAAATCCTGGCTCAAAATAAAAAAATAAAAAGGGCTTGGGATGTGACTCAGTGGTTGAGCACCTCTGGCTTCAGTCCTTGGTACCAAAAACAAAACAACCAAACAAGACCAATTGGCATTTATAGAGTTTTCCCCTCATTGGCTGTAAAAATACTCTTTCTTTTTTCTCAAATACACATGAAACATTCACCAAACCAACCATATTTTGATCCATGAAACAATCATTGTATAATTTAAGAAAATTAAAATCTTCTTCAATTTTAGTAGAATAAAAGTGGAAGTGAATAAAAAAGAGTGATCTAGAAAACCATAAGATATTTAGAAACAAAAATTACAGTTCTAAATAACACATGAGTAAAAGAAGAGATCAAAGGGAAAATGCAAATAGATCTTGGGATTTATGAAAATGAAAGGGAAATATCAAAATTTGTGGGTGAAACTTTATGCAAAAGAAAAATAATTCTCAACCTTCTTGAACATGCTTTCTGCTGGATTACCACAAATTCACTTTTCAGTTGGCTGACCTCTTCCATGTCTCTCTATGGTAAACTACAATTAACTAGAATGTTTTACCAGTGGACTATTAACTTAGTTTAATGATTAAATTGACTAAAAAGAAAAAATAATAATTTTCAAATCCATTATCTAAATTTCTATGTGAAGAAACTAGACAAAGAAGAAAACATTAAGTCCAAAGTATTAGAAGAGTAAAAATAAAAACAAGAGAGCAAAAATAAGGGAAATCAAAAACAGGACAGCAGTAGAGAAAATCAAAAGATTATAGGCTAATTCTTTGAAAAGATCCATAATATTGATACACCTCAAGTCTTAAACTATCCAATAGGTAGCCACTGGCCACATGGAGCTATTGAGCAATTAAAATGTGGTCAGTATAAAATAAAATATAGGTGTAAGTAAAATAAAATAAAATATAGGTGTAAAGTATTTGCAAGTTTTTAAAGATTTCTAAAAAAAAATAGGAGAAAACTTTTAGTTAAGCAAAGATGTCTTAGAACACAAAAGACACAAACCACAAAAGAGAAAAAGTGATAAATTGGATATTAACAAAATTTTAAAAGTTTTTTCTTCAAACTTTTGCTGTTCTATTTTTTAAAGGAAATTCCTTTAAAAAATAAAAATATAAATGTAGAGGAAATATTTGTAAACCAAAGAGTTAAATTCAAAACATAACAATAAAAGATAACCCAACATTAAAATGGACAGAAAAAAATTCATTTTACCAAAAAAAGATATATGAATTCATGAAATCACATTAAAAGATACTCGATATTATTAGTGAAAAAATAAGAAATGAAAGTCAAAACCATGACGAACAACCATAGTACACCCACTGGAAAGACCAAAGTTAAAAGACCAAAACCACAAAGTGCTAGGGAGGACATAGACCAACTAAAGCATTCACACATTGGCCATGAGCTTATAATATGGGATGGTCACTTTGGAGATGATTCATTAGGGTCCTATAAATTTAGACATACACTTATCAACACAGTCAACCACTCCATTCCTTGCTTCATCCAAAAGGAAGGAATATACCTACCTTTGAACAAGTTGGGTTTATTCCTCATTGCAGTGAGGGAGAGCACATACCTTGGGAACCTGGGTGTACCACAGAAAAAGAGCATTAGAAACTATGGTGGGATATGGTTGTTTGGTGTGGCAGGTAGCCTACGGAAGTATTGGCTGTCTCTAGATTGGGACTGTCAAATGGGACAGCAGTTTTATGTCTGGATATTTCAATAGATCTTATCTTTAGGGAGGATAGGCATGCGGGCAGCTATAATTAGTAAATAAATTGTAGAGTCATTTATTATTGCCAAGAGGGGCCGTTTAGTATTTTGTGGCAAAGTGACATTATTTTTGCCTGTGCTTAGAAAACATTATGAAGTGGATTTGCTTTGTCTGATTTTATCATGGTCTCAGAATAGCCTTATCTGAAGTGTGTATTTTGTGAGACTCTTTACATCCAGTAGGATAATCATACAAATACAACCTAGCCATGAGGGCAGGCCAGCTTTCAAATATCAGGGTATATTCTGGTTTTTTGTTTTTTTCCACTTCAGTCCAAAAAACTGGAAGCAACTCAAATGTTCACCAACTGGAGAAAGAAAAAAAATATTATGGTGTGGAAGGGAATTTGGAGATGTATAAAGATGGTCAGCATAATGATTGTGACGATAGGTATGACCACAAACATTGGTATGTAGTCACTGGTCACCAACTTGGACTCTTAAAGTTCATGAGTCTTATTATATGTAAAGTTGACCTCTATTATCCTGATCATTTTAACGATCTTTAC